AAAAAAAAAAAAAAAAATAGGTGTAACGAAGAATTTTTTTTAATTTAAAAAAAAAAAAAGGTGGGCACTCACTTTTTTTTGATGATTGAGGAAAAAAAAAATATATATGTATAGGAACCATGGGAAGGGTTACTATAGAAAAAAAGAAAAAGAAAAAGAAAAGAGAACATCATTAAATATTTGAATACAATTACCTTGGTTTCAAATATTAGTAGACATAAAAGAGGTTTTTTTTTTTTTTTTTTTTTTTTTTTTTTATAAAAAAAAAAAGGAAGGGAACAAGAGGAACCGCAAGTAGCAGAAAAAGAAAAAAAAAAAAAAAAATAATAGAAAGAGGATAAAAGGTACGGGATTAAAAAATAAAAAAGGTTAAAAAAAAAAAAAAAGAAAAGAAAAAGAATGGTGTTTTGGCAATTAGTAAGAAGAACAAAAAAAAAAAAAAAAATAAGCATCACATTTTTCTTTTTTTTTTAAAAATTGCTCCAAGAGATTGGTTGTTGTTGATAGGTGTTGTACATCGAACCGTAAATACTATAGAACAAAGGATCCCATGTTGATTCTGAAAGATTCGTAATGGGATATCCTGCAGGAGCTCCAATCGGTGGTTGTAAAGGCTGTACTGTCGGTTGATGTTGTACTGGGTGGTCGTGGTTCACATGATTTGACACAGATTGCATAAAGTGTTGATATCGATTATAAGAATTTTGATACTGCTTAATTCTAGCAGCTTCGATCTCATCACAATAAATATCATAGCTAGTGTACAAAGATCCTGTTGCTGCTCCTGCTGCTGTTGTTGTAGGTAATGCAATTGGTATTACTGCTACTGGTGGTGGTGCTACAACTCTTGGTGCTACGGATACAGATGGTTGCATAGGTCGCAAACCAATGGTGTACAAGATACTAAGCACGAATTGTTCCTGTTCCAATGGTCTCGTGTGTAGATAATAACAAGACAATCGGTCACGACATACATCCGCCAACGTTTTCCATTGATTGAAATCTTGACTTCGAATAAACAAACGATAATGGATAGCTTCCATGAACTCGGCTTCCATCAAATTCAGGTCGCGTAACTTCATACCACTTACTTCTGACCATGTCGAATTAGCAAACGTATTATCATCCAAGAATTTACAGGCTATCATTTAAAACAAACAGTTAAATAAATAAAAAATCACTCTTTATGGTTTCCACAGAGATTTTTTTTTTTACCCAGTATCAATGCAACAACGAATAAACGGTACTCAGATCCTTCTGATCCTTCCATGGTTGGATTCAGTTGTAAAAGTAAGGCCACGTATTTCAAACAAAGATAAACTGCCGACTCATGAATGGCCGTGGCTTTAAAAACCTGCAAAAAAGAATAAGTTTTTTTTTTTTTTGGTGTGCATACAAATAATTGAAAAACATACATGTGAGCAAAAGCGCTGAAACGAAGAGGTAGGACTACCACCTTGCCACAAGGAGTTCCTATAGCCTCCCGAACTAGTCATGTTCGTGATTTTACGGCCGTGCCACATTACATAAACCATGGACGATGCGAATTCTGCAAGTTGATCCATACTTTGAGAACCAGCGCTTTGGGCGTTGAGTGCGTCTGGTGAGGTATATAACTGCCGGGTTGGAATCATTTCTTTTTTATCTGTTGTTAAAAAAAAAAAGGTACGCAATCTCAAAAGGTTTTCTTTGATCTCTTTTTTTTTTTTTTTTGAGGGGAAAAAAAAAAAAAAAAGGAAGAAGGTTGTAAAGTTGTTGTTGTTGGTTTTTCTGTAAAAGAAAACGGCGGTGTTGGTTTGTAGGTTTTTTTTTTTTACTGAAGAAGGGCGAGTTCTTTTTGATGTAATGTGTTGTATTAAAAAAAAAAAAATTAAAAAAAAAAGGGAAAAAAAAGCCAAAGAGCAAAATTTTTTCTGTGTAAAAGGCCCTTTATACTAAAAGAAAAAAAAAAAAATCGCGAGTCACGTGTCACGCGGTACCTGTACGTGTGTATCTGTACAATCACTCACTGTGTTAAAAAAAAAAAAAAGGAACTTGTACAAAAGAAGGGGAGATAAACAAGAAGAGATGTGTGTGGGGGGGTATGTAGTAGTAATATGATAAAATATAGATGCTATTTCTCTTGGGTTGTTGGTAGTGGTTGTGAGGGAGGGAGGGGGGGAGGATTGGTTTCTCTTCTATTTCTTTATTCTATCACGCTGTAACGAGTGCGTTTTGTAGGTCACTCACTTGTAGTTCCATATTTTCAAAGTCATTTTCCAGTTGTTTCACAATGTCATCCTTCACTTGTAATTCATATTTTAAAGTCTCGTTATCTTCTTCCTTGTCCTTTAATAATAGATAAAGAGCATCTCTATCATTTATTAATATATCCATCCCGTCTCTCAATTGATTATTTTCCTTTTCTAATATCGCTGCTAGGTTACCAGACTGGATATGCGATTTCACCACAGGTCGACATAAATGCTGTGGTAACGCATCTTGAATCATCGTTTCTGCTAATTCTAGTGTAGGTTTCTCCGTAAAACAGCACGTCTCAACACAATTCGATTTACCTGCTAATTGTCGATACAGCAAATTAATCACCTGCACTAAATATTCATATTCAGGTCCAACGTTCTTCATCTTTTTTATCTGGTCCTTCTTGATATTATCTAGCTCCACCTTTATTTTTTTTTTCATATTTCCAATTAGTGTCTACGCACACACACACATACACACATACACACACATACATACCGATTGGATGAGGTATTCGTCTTTCAGGAGTCGGTTCGATCGCTGTAGCCGAATATTATGTTCTACTGACATTTGTAAGGCCTGCTTTAATTCAAACGTCTTTTCCTCCACAAGCTTATCACATTCTAATTTTAAATTTCGATTGGCTCTAGTTAACCTAGCATTGGATAACGTCAATTGCTCCACTTGGTGATAGAGTTGCTTTAATCGGGTTTCGCCATCTCCGCTTTGTATCTTTCGATGGTGTTGAGGTGAACTCCCCGAATCAAACGAACTAAACGAATCATGGTGTTGTAAGTTATAATTACTACCGGCTGATGCGGTGACATCATCTTTTACACTGGAGGCTATATCGTAGATGCTCATGTTTTAAATTACCACCCTCCTCAAAAATGAAGTGACGAGCAAGATGGAGTTAGTCGTCTCTTTATAAAAAAAAAAAAAAAATTGGGAGCCTGTGGATCCTCATTGGCTTGTGTGACCTATCTAGGCAGAGAGGGGGATAGTCACCCCCTTCGTCTGGCGTGTTGGGATAAAGTTGAACCTATTTATAATTAGTACATGTGTTTTGAAGTCAATGCTCAACTTACTTGACTGAAAGTTATATTTCTCTTCAGAACGGGTGAAAGAGGGTTTTACGAAACCAGTGGAACGAAAGCCACTGTATGCCATGTTTTTAACCTCATTCTGCTATCGGTTAGCCGTGGCGATATCCTTCTTGGGTGTATTTGGGGTTCATACATATCCATACTCCTTTCAACTCTTCGTGGCTGACCTTCTTGATGAACAAGCTTGTTTTACAGTGATTCATCAATAACCTGAAACAGATCTTATTCATCGCTCTTAATCATTGATACGTACAATAAAAGACTTCTTTGGGTATGACCAAACGTACATATCTCAATGTCCATCTCCCCCAAGAATACACAAAAACGATCCTAGTTTTTTTTTAAGGCAAATCAAAATCCTTCGAAAAGTTGTTCTGGAAATACATTCTTAAGATTTCAAAGATTTGAAAACGGTCTATGCTCTCAAATAAAGCGTTTGATCTTTTACTGTTTATTACTGCGCTTGTCACAACTTTAGGGTTTATGCCCTGTACAATCTTGTTAGCCCTTTTTTTTTTATCATGTGTTCTTAAAATACCGTTGACTTCTTGAAAGGTGACGTTTGGTTATGCTTAAATTCATACACTCTTACGGAATTATCTTTTAAATGATGGCATTGACTATGTTCTTCTCCTGTTTGCTTTACATTCATCATACAAATGGACAAATTTCACGAATCCTTATCTGCCTTCAGGAACATGTTCGGCTTATCCATCCCTATTTTTTTTTTTTTTTTTTTTTTTTTTCTGATAATGGTTTTCTGTCCCCCAAAAAAATGAATATTAAAACCGAAAGAAGAATTCAAACATTGAAAGCGTCGTTCTTATTCATGATTCACTATTGATAATGTCAAATTTGAAAAAAAAAAAAGCTGAAAATGACCATTCTATCATTGCATGATTAAATTGTAATTTGTTATTTATCAAATCACCGCCTTTTTTTTTCTTCGGTACATTTTCTATTCATCTTGGAACAAAAGATACAAAGTTGCATGATAAATATTTAGACTGCCATTCTTTTTTTTTTTTTTTTTTTTTTTCGTCTCTCTGTCTTTATAAACAGTCATTCGATGCTCCACCCGAAATTTGGTATTTTTGTGCTTGAGTAGCTAAAAGGTGTTTCTCAATGAACAACAGCAGTTATTCATGACACTTTTTTGAAGCTAAAATCCGCATAAAAGCATCTATATTTTGAGAGCAAATCGGTATCTAATCTTTCGACATACATTATTTTCAGAAAATATTAGATCCAAATGTAAAAAGATTGGTTCAAAGACCAAAGACCGTAAAAAAAAAAAAAAAATTGAGCTTACCACCTAAGTGTATCCATGGTTGACCTGCGATAACAGCCCTGAAAAAATTCTACTTATGGCGTTGACAAACATTTCTAATGTTTGCTTGATTATTTTGGGTTCTTGCTCTTTTCCGTTGGTCCTGGGAGGCCTCTCCACGTCGAAACCTTAGGGGGGGGGGAATATCGTTTCCAGCACGAACTGAACGAACAATATCAACCATGGTCAACCAATCATCCATATTACGATTCCATAGACGAGGAAGAATTCTATTGGTGTCTCTAGTCATGGCTCTACAATTTTGATTTGTACATCTTTCACAGGAACAAAAAAAAATTATTGGATAAAACAATTATAAACAAGTAAAATCAACATACCTTAAGAGACCATGTCTAATTACACGTGGATTTACTCTTCGTCTATGAGGGCGCGTGTTATTGACCATAGAAACGTTTCGAGGATTCTACGTTCACAGGCTGGGCAGCACCGACTTGTTCTAAATTCATCAATCAAGTACACTATTTTACCAGCTTTTTGAGCAACCGACTGAATCCAAGGCCTCGGACCGGCTCATGGAATCTTGTATTAGGAGCAGACCAGTTACCCATGACATA